ATATATAATAAGTACACAGGGAGAGAACGCATGAATTGCCTTAGCTCTCGAGGTGAGGCAGCTCATGCGTGTATGCGAATGTGTTTCATGCGTAAAACGGAACGCAGAGCGAAAAAGTTATTTAGCGATAGAGTTATTTAGAATATTGTATTTGCAGTGTAGCTGCAATATTGCAGATTTAATATTACGCAATATTGTGTTTGAAATATTGTTGCACCATTGCATTTACAATATGCAATCTTGCAACGTTGCAGCAATGCTGCTGCAGCTTTTGTGCTGTATGGGCAGTTACTTAAAGTATCTCCTGCATTTTTACCTAGATTTTTCGAAGAATTGATCCAGCAAAATTAATTTTTTTTATTTTGAGAAGGGAAGGTTTTATCCCCAAAATCCTCTCTCCCTAACCCTGGCGAAAGTAATATATGTTTATAAGAAGTTTGTTTAAATGTTGAGTCAATGTTTCCCACACAACACAGAAAGATTGCAGGAAGATTGCAGAAATGTTACATTGCAAGATTACAATATTGCAGCAACGTTGCGCAACATTGCTGCAACGTTTCTGGAGGATTGCACCCAGCAAACACAGATATATGTCTCTGCAAGATTGCAACGTTTCTGCAATGTAACTGCATTAACCATCTGTGCTGTATGGGTTTTTGAGTTTTAAAACATTTATTAAATTGTTTGTGAGATATAAATTTAAACATGGAGTTGTTTATGACATGTTCACGGTTACAAGTGTTCGAATTGTATTTAATGATACAATGTCAAACGTTTTCATTATAGTTTTCTAAGTGTTTGTAAAATGTTATTGTCAGTAAAGAATTAACCAGGTGTTTGCAACGTACTTCCAAACGGTATAACCATGCAATAAAACTATTCATAAATAAATATAAACATCCTCTCTCACTTAAAATTTTCGCCAGGGAAAGCCCGTGTACGTACACTTAATTATTCGTGGACAGAAACAGCAAGACGCTTATTTTTTATGATTTTTCAGAACGCGATAGATATTCAGTAGAAATTTATTTATATAATCGCTCGGCCCGAGCCAAACAATAAATACATTATGCATCCTAATGCGTCGATAACAGCTATAAATAAGAAGACAACAGGCCAGCTGTGTGTCACGTCTAAAATATGTCCGGAAAAATATACGCCGAGGAAACCTGGAAAAAAGAAGATACATCGACTGTCCGTGTGATCGTTTACATTGATTACATTGATTACGTACCAGGTATCGCGCCAACGGTGTTCATCAGGCCGAACACGCTGCCGGAGTGCTTCGGTGCAAGATCCGAGGGATTTACAGCAATAGCGTTATTGTGGAATCCCGAGCCACCGATAATTAACGCGAGACAAAATATCGCGCTCTGAAGGCTTTCCACTTTCGCTACACGGAACACATACGAATTGACAGTATTATGCGGCATGACACTGGCCGATAAGCCCTTATTAAATATCAAGATTTACCCAAGAATAACAGACTTCCAATTTCGATAACAAAACAAATCGTTTGAATTGTTTTGCGTGTTACAGTCACGGAATAGCCGGCTTTAATTATCTCTTCTGATAGAGCTTTCCCCAAGAATGTACAAGGTAGCATTGACAGCCATGGCACCATATTTACAACCCAACCCTGTTGATTAAAGTTATTTCAACATGATGCAACGAAAAGAAAATCGCTACATTGTTATTTTATTATTACAAATTATCTAGTGACTCTAGTCAGCTTTTTCTAGGCTACAAATTTTTTCTTGTTTTGGTAATGGAATAGTTCTTATGCTTTTTTTTACCAATTTTTTAAACACGCAGCCAAATCTGTCGGAACAAATTTCGTCAAATGCCCACCTTGGCAAAAATAAAAAGTTTCATAAGTATTTGTATAGCGTTTACGTGAGCGTTTGCAGGAGTTCGTTGAGAGTTTAGAAACAGTCAATAGAGAATTTGTAGAGCGGAAATTGCAACTGCGGCGTTTAGAAGACGTTTGTACATAGCATTTTTTAACTTAGCATTGTAGAACTTTTATGAAACGTTATATACAGTATTTTATAAGCGTTCTGAAAGCGTTCAAAACACAACGGCATTGTGTAAGCATTCTCATAAAGTTGGAAAACGTATGAACTTTAAAAAAACCTTCATTTAACGGTTATCAACGCTTCGTAAAGCTTGTTATTTTCGCCAGGGATTGCCAAAACAAAAGTCAAATGCGGACACCGATAGCTATGATTTTGGTGTGGGTTTTTGATGAATCTGTTGCCAATCTGATGCCGATCTGCTAACATTTTGCTGACTGAGCAATAATATTGTATAAAAATAAGATTACCCTAATTTCAGGAAATGTGTCATGGAAGTATGTAGGCATCCACGAAAGTAACACGAAGAAACAGTTATTTTGGCAAGCGTGTCCAATAACACAAGACCTGAAAATCATAGTTAACAATCAATAAAGGCAGACGGGACAATCGGTCTATAAAGAATGTTATACATATATTTATATAAAGTCTTATGATCAATTATGTAATTTTCACAATCAAACGATTCAGGACTAGAGCATTTGTGTAAGCTATAGCATGTCAAACTCTTATTACTTCTGAGCGCAATCGTAAGTCTTAAAAATCGATTCGGTATTACAGGAATATAATATGTATATATTCGGCAAGAGGATTGCACATTTCCAAAGAGTGCGATTCCAAGAGCTCTGGTTTTCAAATCGCAAAATCTGAAGATCTCGAAAATCGAATTCCAGGCTAATACAATAGGCAAGAATTCTTAAGGTATTTAAAATTCCAATTGTTTCCCAAAAGTTGCAAAAGTTCCGGATTTCAAATCGCGAAAATCAAGAGCTTCGAAAACGATCGATGAGGTGAATATATCCTATAATCGTAATACCTGACTGGTTGATTACAAAAGTTTCTTTTTGTACCTCTAATTTATGCAGTACTTTGAAAAGATCGCATCCCATGCATCATAATTACCAGAAAGGAGGCTGTGACAGCAGTTTGGACCAAGGCAAAGTGGTCGACTTGGTAGAGGTTGTTTTTTCCTTAAAAGGCAGGATATGATAGCTTAACAAAGCTGTCCATGCTAAACTCATGCCCCCTATGTAAATAAATTAGTAAGCACCACAAAGGAATGTCATTTCTGCCTGAGAACAAAATTAACAAGGAGATGCGCTCAACTATTAAATTATTTAACAGTTGATATTTTAACACACAAACAACCATGTTGTGCTACAATGCCCTTATTAATTTTTTAAATATCAAGAGTCATTATTTTCTCGTTATTATCATCACACGCCGTGTCTGAAAATCACTATCTTTTGTCTACGGATTCTTCCATTAATTTGACATCGATTTACATAAACTACATTGTACCTAACGTCCGAAAGACGGTCATCCAGTTATAATTCTCCAGAAGGTACGAGCCTAACGACCCGGTGAGTAGGGTGCCCAGAGCAGACCCCGACGTTAATAAGCTAAAGAAGGAGGCTCGTTCTGCCTCGTGCAAGCGTTGGCTGATCAAGCTAATCATGCTAGGAAAATGCATTCCTGTAAGTGACAGGTGTCGTATTATCCACTATTGCCCTTAGTACAACTATGTGAACGCTTGAAGAGTCACCTTGGAATGCTCCGTTTATCATTCTCATCGCCGCGACGAGCCAGACGGAGGTTCCGTCCCCCGAAAAGAATTCTATGATCTCCGGCATAAGGAAGGTCGTCGCCGAGCAGCCGAGGGCGGATATCCACAGTACTCTCTGTCCGCCAATTTTGTCGCTAATATAGCCGCTGGCTACCTGCGTCAACATATATCCCCAGAAGAAGCTTGACAGTATTATCCCTGAGTCCGACTTCGACCAATTCTTTTCCTGACTGACGATGGGTATCAACAGGGGAACTGATGTACGTGTGGCGTATATCAGGCACGTGCCGCACAGTAGCGACAGGAACCACTTCTGCCTCTCCCTCCTGAACGGAAAAAGGTTTTAATGCCCAACAATGCCATTCGTAATAGCAATTACGTGCAAGTGTTGTGAAGTAAAGGGTCAAGAGATAAGAGCAATTTGAGGTATCTTCTATAAAAAAAAAATGTATTAACAATACACGGTAAACCAAGTCCGCATCGCCTATTAAAGAAGTGAAATGTAAATTACTCGACTAAATAAATTAAATACAGTAGTGTATGAATGACATGCCGAAAGAATACAAGGCAAAAAAGTCTATAACATGCTATTTGCGTCTAGAAATATTCTATCTTGTGGCCGATGAATAAGTTTAAAAAATTTGTGCAAATTGATAAATTGTACCGTATACATTGTACATTGTCGACAAGTTTTTCAAGCGTTTTAATTTGCTTACATAAAGTAGAATATTTCTACAACAGATGCAAAGAGCACATTGTAGATTAGACTTTAGAGACACGAATTCAGAGGCAAAAGTCAAACATGTAGTCAACAAAAAAGATAATAAAATAACAGTACCGCGGTAACATTGTGAAGGTAACTCTAATTTTTGATTAATTCAATTGACAAAATTATTTAAAATATAAATTTTCAACTGCATAATTTGTCAAGTATCCCTAATCTGGTTTGTTTTTCCATGTGTGTAAATGATTAAAAAAAAATTAAAAATTCCATCACAATTCGAAGGAATAATGGATATAAGAGGCAAAACAGGATGTTAGTGTCTAAATGATTTTAATTTGTAAAAATTAAATTTCTCCCAGCCAGGGTTAAACCTGGATCTCCCTCTCACTAGGTAGGCCTCTTGCAAACTCGACCACCGAGGCATGTGGCAATATTTATCGCAATAAACGGTCCAACGTTATTTCACGAAAGTCACATTTGTGCAAATCGTGACCTGAAATCGAAATAGAACTGCACGCCGACCAATTTGTCAGTCTTACAACACCGTTTCAAATATGAATTCCCGTTATTGCCATATATTTTTTGCAACAAATTTAAAACTTAAAATTATATAGACACTAACATCCTGTCTTGGCTTTTATATCCTTTATAGTTTATTCCTTCAAATTGTGATTTCACGTCAAAGCCTTAGTCCCAGTCTACAATAGAGATTTAAGCCCTAAGCCTTAAGAAATTGACTAATCACAGTCGCGCATTCTTCTCATACTTGACCGTGATTGGCCAATTTCTTAAAGCTTAGGGCTTAAATCTCTATTGTAGACTGGGACTTATGAATTTTATTGCTTAAAAATTCTAGGCTTTAAATTAGGGCTCGCTATTATACGTTTAAACGGAAACACGTTTATACGTATAATTAGCTATCCGTTTATTAGAAACGTTTTTCCGAATACACGTGTTTCTACTTAACAAACGTTTAAACGTTTACTAGGCTCTAATATACGTGTAAACGTTTAAACGTGTAAACGTTTTTCTACAAATAAACATTTTTCTGGAAGAAAATGTAAACAGATAAACGTTTATTCGAAAAACGGAATAAAATCCGAGCCCTACTTTAAATACAAGTGTTGACAAGTTAATCACTGATCAAGTTAATCGGAGTTTAGTCGAAGTCACTGAAAACAATGGAGATCAGCGAATCTTTCGTTTGGAAAATTGATGTATCCTCCTGATTGTATGTACCTCGACCAGGACAAGATGGTCCTGTCATCGAACGGAGTGTCCAGTGGTATCTGTGACTGCATCATTCGTGGACTCGTTTTAGCTCGTCGATTTCGATTTCCGTGTCAGAGCGTCGGCTTTCGTCGACGTCACGCCAAAGCACACCGTGACTTTCACGCGCATATTTATTGTTATTGACACGCGGATCTGTTGAAGTACTCAAAATCCTTAAATTTTGTCACGCTAATCTCCGTGGTCCTCTTCATCTCGGCTCGGAAGCTTTTGACTCCGAGTCACTCCGAGACTGCTCGAGCGCTGCGCTGCGGAGTTAAATGGCTCGACCTGACACTTGACAGTCCTGACACAAGTCGGGCCGGATTCTTCGCGCATGCGCGACATACGCGGACTAGGGTATCCCGTATATCAGTAAAGTACATGAGAAATGAAAAAGAGTATGCATGTACGCCCGGATGCGTTGCCGTCTGAATATAAGTATAAAAGAACCCCGCACTAATCATATAGGAAATTGGATCTCGGTTAAATTGGCTAGTTTTCACATATGTTGTAGCTTATGACCTGCTGAACAAAAAATATAATGGGCTCACAGTTAAATAATGGCTAGTTACTGAGCTACAGCCAGTCAAACATGGAAAATTTGGGCTCCCCGGGTCTTGTTTGGAAATACTTTGAAGCATATTAGGAAAAAATGTTTCAGACAAAAGTTATTTGGTTCGATGGGAGACATAAGACGATGCCATTAATTTGACCTTGGATAATTATTTGAAGGTCACATGAAGGTCAATTTCAATTTCTTAAATGGACACCCCCACTTTTCAGTGCACATATTTATGTCGAGAGTTTTTCAAAGACACTATATGTATAATGAAATATAGTCTTATTTCGAACCAAACAAATATATATAGAACCAAACAACTTTGTCTGAAACATTTTTTCCTAATATGCTTCAAAGTATTTCCAAACAAGACCCACGGAGTCCAAATTTTCCATGTTTGACTGGCTGTAGCTCAGTAACTAGCCATTATTTAAGTTTGAGTCCATTACATTTTTCGTTCAGCAGGTCATAAGCTACAACATATGTGAAAACTAGCCAATTTAACTGAGGTCCAATTTCCTATATGATTAGTGCGGGGTTCTTTTCCATGTTTGACTGGCTGTAGCTCAGTAACTATAGCCATTATTTAAGTTTGAGCCCATTATATTTTTCGTTCAGCAGGTCATAAGCCACAACATATGTGAAAACTAGCCAATTTAACCGAGATCCAATTTCCTATATGATTAGTGCGGGGTTCTTTCTTGTGGCTTGCTACACCTATTGCGAGCCTGGCTTGTATATCGTAATTGTGCCTGAGACTTTGAGCGAGCTCCGATTCAAAGTCATTCCTAGCAAAGATTCGGGCTCTGTTCAGTGTGGATCCACAAATCCGCGCATCTGTAATAATCACGTAAAATGTGGATGAATATACAAATGAAAATAAAATAAATTAAGAGATATGCGCACCACACACACACACACACGCGCGCGCGCGCACACACACACACACACATCGCACATACACGCGTGCGTACATCTCGAGTGATTATCCAGTTTCGCGTAAGAAACGCGATGAGAACTTCGCACTAGAGGTCAATAATCATATGTATATATGATTGTTGCATGTCGGTTTTGTGCGTATTACTTACAATTAGTGCATATCCACTTGGACGGACCTTGACATTTATACCGATAACAGTGGAGACAGCAAGGGGACGTAGATGCAGAACGAAAACGTTGACGCATATGTACACGATGCAATAAAATGTGATTTCACAACGACGTCGCTTGAACGGATTCCCGGACTTAGATAAACGTCTGTCTGTCCTCCAGGAAACACGATGTGCAGGAGCTAAAATACGTCGCTCGTTTATTCTTTAGACCACCACCCTCGAGTTGCGTTGTTCGAGTCATGATATGCGCGAGATATCTCGCACCGTTTAAGAATTGCTTCGAGGAAGGGCTTGGAACACCCCGCAGAAATGGCAGAGGTAATTTGAATATATAGTCGCACTCTTTCTATCGAGTGTTATTCGCTTCGTGTCTCCCGCGGTGCCAAGGCATTGTTGTACGTTCTGTCAACTGAAAACTGAACGAGCACAAATTATTTCATTTCAGACGCAAAGTGATTGCATATACAATTCAATAATCATGTATTGTAAGTATATCTGTGTCGTGCCAGTATCTTATCAGAGCTCCGTCACGTTGCTTTATCATTTATTTTAAAAAAATTAAGCAAACCAAGGATTGACATTTGATTCCAGACGAAGAACGGGCCAAGAAGTGCCAGACACTTTTACGTCACCCCAACGTTCGTACGTGTATTCTCAAATTTAAGGAGCAGCTTGCCCACAATCCATTTTTGCAAGTGGCCACGTTCATCGCGATAGCGTCGCTATTGACACCCATCCTCTTGTTTATCATATTTGCCATCATCAGTGCTGTATTTGTATTTATTGGTTTTATGATGGTTCAAGGTAAGAAACGATACGTCTCTTTTCTCAATCACAGACAGAGCTGCGCTGCCGCTCGGGCTCTAAGTATATGCGTTGTTTTCAGTGACAGTATTGGCTATTGGCGCGAGTATTTTAAGCTGCGTACTTTTCTGCATCGCAAGCACTATTATAATGGTAGGATTATTTATCCTCTTCGCCTATTACACGTTATATTACACAAATCATGCGTTTAATCTCTTGATTTGTACGAAAACCTGATAATTGTGTATAAAGACTGTTGTGTTCTTAAATATAAAAAGAAAAAAGAATAAAAAATGTTATGAATATAAAGTTCAACCTGAATATGCAATACATATTCCTAGTTTATTCTTACATTTAGGACAGTTTCAAGTACAATCTTGGAGCCTGAGCAGAATGGCTGTCTTGTATTCTTAAGACATAAGACAGTTATTGTGCGTCACCTCAAGACAAGGCTTAAAACATTGTCTTAAGAGTATAAGACAGCCATTTTGCTCAGGCCCTCTTTAAATCACAGACTTAAAACATAAAGCATTGTCTTAAAAGTACAAGACCGTCACTTTACTAAAGCTCTTAAAATATAAACCAATCGCAGAGCAATATCGGCATCTCAAGACATTGCTTAACCGACGGCATTATTAAATCATATATGTACTCGAAGCAAAACATTTTATTGTATATGTGTCGATGGTTTCTTTCTTTCATCTACTTCTCTCTTCTGTCTCCCCTTTTATCGGTATAAATGTCAAGATCTGTCCAACTTGTACATATGTGTAATACGCACAATATCTGTCCTGGATTAAGAATAGATTATGAATACCAGCCCACGTCCAAATAGATCAAAATGTCTATATCTACCTTAAGAATATTTAAATAACAAAATTACATAATCTTCGCCCCTTCTCTCTCTCTCTCTCTCTCTCTCTCTCTCTCTCTCTCTCTCTCTCTCTCTCTCTCATTTAAGCATGACATTTATATCAGAGGGATGATTGGTTGAAGATACTCGTTTCTTATTTCGCTTTTGTAGACAAGTGTATCTCGTGCCACAGTGAGTTGGTTAACTCGTCATCAATCTCTTGATTTTCATAACAAAAGTGGTGGATGTAATCGCACTTGTTTGATACATCTGTGTCAAAGAGTTAAGGACTTAATAAGCGAATACTCTACTTCTATCTGCCACTCGTTAACAAACAGAAGTGGCTCGCGTAAAACATAAAATCACACTCAATATATCTTATTGGTTGTATGCATGTGTTAAGAAAAAAAAAAGGATACAGCCCTTAATACCGTGCTTCGTAGCTGCATAATCCCATTGTATGTTAGTGAAGTCCTTGTACAATTTCAACTTTTTTCTATGAAACAAACGAAACAATGACAACACTTGGATAAAAGAACCCAAAATGTATCAATAAACAATGACAACACATACTTTCCTTGCTCCAGCACTTGCTGATCATGTACATTCGGCCGCGGTGACCTCAAGTTGTTGCGTTTCTCCTCCAACTGTTTCATCTCTTGCAGGAGCGTCTGTTTGCCCACTTGCAATTCTTCCTGTTAAAAAGCATTCTGCAGCAGACAGAATATCCAAACTCCGAAAACATTTAAGATATACTCACTAAATAAACCTTCTCTTTTGACAATTCGTTATTTTTGTGCTCCAACGCTTGTACCTCCATACGCAGCGTTTCTTTCATAGCAGCCAATTTTGACTGTAGTTCTTTAATCTTAGTTTCGTCCTCTATAAAATAGAAGCACAGTATAAAAGTTAGTGTAAAAGGAATAATAAAAACGCCATTGTCTCATAATTTTACAAGGATTTTAAAGCAACAGATGACGCAGGAGCTTGTCGATCCTTCCTGAATTTATTTCCAAATTATTTTTCGTACCCGCGAACAACAAACTTTACCATTGAATTGTTGATCTTGACTTCTTTTGGTTTCATCCGCAATTTCTGCTTTTGACAGCAATAGTTGTTGAAGTGTCGACGTACTCGTGTCTACAAGTTTAGCTCTCAACGATTCCAGCCAATGGCCCTCCATAGTTTAATCTAATATTAAAACCAATTAATCTTGCGATAACTTGAAACACAAGACGCAAGACCTATTTTACATCTGATGAGCTACCGTTACAATTGGAAAATTCGAATCTGCAAGGGCCGACACAACAAAGATCTAAATTTAAAGGTGCATTCCGGTGAAGATAGGAACTATGAAGAATAAAGACTGAGAGCAGTCACTTGTCTCGAAGACAAATGCGCCCCCTGAGAAAATGGACGTCAACTACGACCATTCTAGGCTGCGTTCAGAAACACCACCCGAGTACACCTCTGTGAACTAAAGCCCGCTGCAGACGATGCTATTTTTCCTGCTGGATTGCTTGCGATTTAGTAAATTACTATCATTGCACCACTCAGCATTCAGGATTCCTAGTAATTTACTAAATTGCAAGCAATCCAGCAGGAAAAATAGCATCGTCTGCAGCGGGCTTTAGCCGGCTTACTTCGACTTTTCGATTTTTTTTTCGTTTGTTGGTCGTTTGTTGATCATTGTTGGTCTAATATCAATGTTTGTTGGTTTACAATTTTTTTATAAACAAAAAAACAAAAATTAGCTTGAAGTTAGCCGACAACTTCGACGTTTTAAAAAAAATTTTTTTTAATCGTTTGTTGGTCGTTTGTTGGTCACTGTTGGCCTAATATCAATATTTGTTGGTTTATAATTTTTTTATTAAAAAAGAAAAAGATTAGGTGAAGTTAGCCGACAAAATCTCATTTTCGAATAAAAAATGATTAAATCGATGCGCAATCGTTCGCTGATGATTGTTGATCTAATTATAGCGTTTGTTGGTTTAATTAGTATTTTCTTTTAAAAACGAAAAATAATCTCTTATTGATGAATCACTGTTGATGCTAAACACAAGTTTCGACTAACTTTGATTTTTCTTTTGTAAATCATTTGTTCGTCGTTTGTAGGTGATTTTTGGCTTAATTATAGCATTTGTTGGTTCAATATTTTCCCTTATAAACGAAAAATTATCTCTTGGTGATGAATCGCAGTTGAAGATAAAGGCGAGTTTCCACTAACCTCGATTTTTTCCTATTATTTATGCAAATCGTTTGTTGGTCGTTTGTAGGTGATTGTTGACTTAATCATAGCATTTGTTGGTTCAATATTTTCCCTTATAGACGACAAATGATCTCTTAGTGATGAATCACAGTTGAAGGTAATTGCACTCAATAAAAACTCGCCCTAAAACAGTACTGGAATATGACACCGCCGTAGAGTTAGCAGACAAATTCAATATTTTTGAATTTTTCTTTTTTATATAATTTGGGAATTATTTGGGGAAATTTAGGAAAATGATTTCAACATTTAGGAAATAATATTTTTTTGTTAATAACAAATTTTTATTGAACGTCAAGTT